TTATTTTTTTTTTTTTAAATTAAGATATGCAAGATTAATATGTTTTCCTGGTACAGAATAAAACACTATTAGTTGTATATGACTCTATCTCCCAGAAGGCCTAGGTTTCCAAGTCCAGAGGAAATACTTTTTTTAAAAAAATATGGCTAGATCTGTATCTGTCAGAAAAAGTTCCAGCATCCTGTCTTGGAATATGTGACATGGAATTTAAAAGATGGCATCTGCTCAAGAGCCATCCTGACACATTCTTAGCAGGATTTTTTTAATCTTTTACACAACTTAGTGGTTTCCTTAGGAAACTTTGAGAACTTCAGGGTTTTTCTAAAGAAAACAATGTATTTTTAAATATACTGGTTTACTTCAAGGATTTGGTTGTGTTCTTATCTTCTTCTTGTCAAGCTCTATTATAGATATAGAAAACAGACAAACTAAAACAAATACTGGCAGATCCTAGAAGAATGCAACCATGTTTCAGACTCCAGCACCAAACCTCAGTTTGAGAGGCACAGTATTTAAATGAGGGCACTGAGCAGAATATTTCCTGCTTTGAATACGCTGTGTATATACAGCACGGCAAATAAGGCAGACAATGCAAACACAAACATCTGTACGAAGAACTGTCAGATCCAGGAAAGGGAAGGGGAAAAAAAAGAAAGGGGGGGAAAAAGAAAGGGGGGAGAGGGGGTGGTGAAGGAAGGGGGGACCAAGATGAAAAAAATCCAAATCATTAGCTGTATGCAAAGAGTAACAAACTAACTCATTTCAGGTATAAAACAGAAAGATTAGAGTACTCCAGAAAGATAATAGTAACATCTTGAAATAACTTGAAAGATCAGATTAGTTATATGTCGCCCTGAAAACTCAGTTTTCTGAGCTTGCTGACATAGTCTTCTAAAAACTTTCCCAGGACAGCAACAGTAAACATAGGTAAGTATACATTCTTTCTGATACACATCTTGAGATGGACATCTCTCACGGCCAGTGCAGTTAGGAAGGTGTTATCCCGACTATCCAATCCCTGGGCGTGGTCAGAAACCTATAAATTCTGGGAGAAGAAATAAAGCTCTCTTCCTTTCACCACACCCTGAGCTGTGTTTGTGTGATCCTATTCTTCTCCAGCAACAACAGTTAGATTGTTAAAAACTGAGTAAGTATATCTGTATAAAGTTTGCTGGCTTGATTTCAGATAAAGAACATAATCCAAAGGTTATTGCTTTTCATGTCTGTTAAGGCACCTGCAAGGCTGTTGTCTGTCAAAAGCAGGTTACTGTTGTCACACTGTAATCTAGGGAATTAAAATGCACTAAAATGATACATTGAAAAGATAATTTGAAAACTATGGAAACTTGTCTAGATTATTGAAACATTAAGCTAAGGATGAATGGTATTGATATTTGGAAGCCATTTTACATTACATAATTTTCCTTATTTCAATTTACTGAAGAGGTACTCCCTACAACATTAGCTCTTCTAGTTATTCTGTGACTAAAAGAAAACCACTACTATAATTTTCAATGAAAGAAGACATAAATTTAAAAACTGAAGTATTGCAGCAGAAGTTATATTAAATTATGTTTATTATTTTTAATGACTGCCGCAGCAATTCAGAACTAGCAACAGCACTGAATCTGAATCCTCCTGATCAGCACAGTACATATATGTTGAAGCAGATGACCTCTTGTTTCATTTTTATCTTGTACTGCATTCACGTCACGACCTGGATCAGTTTTTAATTGTCAGACCCCTTGAAAATGCACCAAGTAATGGTGATCTGACTGGTGACCTTGATTATAACTGCAGTGTTGTATATTTTCTGTCATTTTCTTGTGCTTGATAGGAAGAAGCAAGAGGCAAACACATGCTCCCTTGTCAAACCAAACCTCAATCAGGCAGCAGATAAAAGCACAAGTATTAGGTTTCTGGGATCAAATCAGCCTTTGATCCTAAAGGCTTTCAGCCTTTAGGTGATCCTTAGTGATATAGGATACTTGTTACCACAGTTATCTGTAAACAGGTAAATTGTTGTTAATATTATTAATGCCACTCAAAAAGCTTATGTGTTAAGTGGGGACTGAACTAGATCAGTGTCTTCAATGCACTGCTCTCTTTTGGAAAGCTGTGCTATGGAAAATTAAATGTTAAGGGACTTTGAATAGCATACCTGGCACTTCAGCAATGATTTCAGTGGCTACTGATTGCTTCCCAGCAATGCTGGCCAGCTGAACTGGGAAACTGAACCAGCTTTAAACCACAGAAAAAATAAAAAGGAGAAAAAAAAAAAAATTATTATTCAATAGGCAAAATGCAAACCAGTTTCACTCCTAGCAGCCCACAGGATGACAGGATCATGGTGTGAAGGCTGGTGTAAGCTGGGTGTGTGACTTGGGCAGCACCATAGCTGAACCCACCATCACAGCTTTGATACCTACTGCTCTATCCTCTGTCCATTTTAGCACAGGTCTGTATGTTGCCTTCTTCCTTCATTTGGAACCTGACGGTGATCAGAGTAAATCAGCAGTAGAGCATCACTGTATTCAGTAGGTATGGTTGAAAGGCTTATCAATTAATTAATTACTAAAGTTTTGCTACTCCTGACAAGTGCCCAGCGTCTTCAGCACAGCATCAAGACTAGCTTATTGTGCAGTATCAATGAATCATTTTTCTTTCATGTTCACTTATGTTAATATTAGACTTTTTTACTCCAGTTTTCTGAATATCTAGTAGAAAAGTGAAACAAGTTATGAAAAGAACTGCTAGCATCAGTAAGGAATATAGTCCAGATTTTATTTGTTTTATTGGTGTCACAAAGGTGCTTGATTTAAGAATGATGATTATTTTGGCTAAGTTTCTTGGCAGATTCTGTAGAATAATAATGCTGCAAAATGTGGAATGTGCCAAGATTATCTTAGGTCATTTTAAGGATATTCTCTGATCCAACGTCTTTGTACACTTTCAAGTATAATTAGCAAGAAAGGAAAGCTAACAGAGGAACAGACAGCAGCCAGCATCCTTTAGTGGACTAACAAGCTTCAAGGATGTAGAAAATCAAGCTTTTGTTTTATGTCAGTATAACAGATAGCAGTTAGCAACCTTACTCAAGCAGAACCTGGAACTAACAAGCTTTAAGAATGTAGTAAACCAGGATTTTGATGTATGTCTATTTACATATTGCTAACTTGGCAAAATACTCAAGGCCCATGTATCCTATAGCTGAACTATCAACTATGTTCATTTTAGTACTAAAAATTGTGCCTACAAGTAGGAAAAAAAGGACCCCTATCCATGTGAAGACTCTTCCCCTGAGTATGTGTATAAATTAGCTGGGATTATGTAACTTGTATGGAAATTACTAAGCAAGCATAATGGAGAGGCTGTACTTGAGAAGTTATAAACTCTGAACTTCTGTGTATAACTAACAGGGAGGGTCTGGAGGCGTGTGCTTGAATTGTGAGAACCCAAGCTTGCACAGATGTGAAATGAATCACATTCAATCAATGTGTCTCTCTCAGCTGTGTGGTTATTGGCTTGTTGCTCACCAGGTAATAAATCTGATTTTGTGGACAACACTAATTTACACTGGATTGCTTTCTCTACTTGTTACAGCTGGTGAAAGTGTTTTTTCTTTATGTGTATTTGCAATATCCTTTAATTAATTCAGTAATTTCCTTTGGCATATTCCGTGCTTGCTCAGGAAATAGAGTTCTTTCCATAAAAACATCTTCCTAGAACATTTAAATTTCACCAGAGCAGGGTCACTTCTCTTGTCAATTTTGGAGAGGTGGGTTTTTTTGTAGTTCACTTTTCCCAGAAAAAATTCTTCCCTACCTTAGGGAAAAATGTATGCTTAACAGCAATGCTCTCTTTTCCTTCTGTACACAAGATACAGTGAGCATACACAGGATTGCTCTTGACTTCATCTAAATAGTAATACTGGGTGATATTTATGCATCTCATCAAGCAGCATCCTCACTATCAATAGCAGCAGTATTATTAATAGCATAAATACAAGCAGGCATTCATTGTATTACAAAAATTACTAAGTACAAAGCAGACTGAAAGAGGTAGGGTAAAAATGCTCTAACTGTCAAGTAGATTTCAAGCAACTGAGTCAGCAGTCACCCGGTGCACAGAATATTTTATTATTTTTCATCACTTTTTCGGTCTTTTTGAAGACTTAAAGTTCTGGCCTCATAGAAGATATTCATGTAGACTGTCTTTAGGCACAAATTCTTAAAAACTGCTTTCTGCTAAAAATGACTTCCTGGAAATTCCCAGTACTATATGCAGTGAAGTTTGTTGTAGCTTCTGCAAAGGTGAAAAAGCACAGCTGTCTAAAAAATCATTCCTGGATACAAGCCAAAGAGTGGGGAAGATGGGGTATTTCCCTCAACTGCCTTTGCTCACGGGCTTTAATTACGTGCTAATGTGAAAGTCTCTGAAAACTCCCTGATCAACTTTCAGGTGGTTTTGAAGGCAGGGCTTGCCAAAACCAGGCTCCGTTTCAGATTAAAAGGCTTGACTCCCTAGCTGTTTGCATGATCACCAGTAAGCAGTCCTGTATGTCTAAGTTTCTTCTGAGAAACTTCAGAACAAACTGCTTTTGTAAGAAACACAGGCTGCAATTACAGCACCAGTTCACCAATAAAAAAATTTAGTCTGTTTTGCCCATTGCTAATGCTTGAATTCCACTGCCATCTCAGGAATGAGACATCCGGCAGTAACTATGCATGACAAACCTGAATTGATACAGAAGGAAACATCATCCTTCACAGTGTCCTCTTCATTCATCCCCAAGCTTCTGTGCCACACTGCAGCAGCTAAACTAAGCAAGGGCCTAACTGGAATTAAAATCAGATGAACCAGTTAAATCAAAACAAGCACAGACTGAATGAATGTGGAGCTGCAGCTTCAGTCATGTATGGAAAACCATAGTAAAAATATCTTTGGCCTTTACCATTAGGAGTTACTTGTGATGTTTTCAGAGGGACTTTATTTGTAATTTACAACTTCTAATTGTACGAAGAGACAATATAATTTAAAAAAATAATTTTATTTTTTCCAAAGTTAGTGTTAAAATAATCTGGAATACAAGTTGAGCTTAACAGAAAGCAGAAACCAGCAGCTCCATCAGTAATATTTAGACACTACTGCAGTTCTTTAAGTTTTGAGAAGCTTGAGTGATTTTGGATACAAAAGCAAAACTCCCCATACAGTAAGAAATGTAAAATTACAAGTCTAAAATCTCATCAGGCACAAAACTGAAGTTTCCCTGAGAAGATGTAATTACTAACTAGTGTATAAAGTACCTACACAATATATATCACAATATCAGGGTGCTTTAAGAATACAAAATAAAGATTTGAATTCCTTAATACTCCATGCTGAAGACAAAATTTTCAAGAGGATTAACAATTTCATGTAAGAGAACTGCAGCAAACAGATCTAAGTAAAATGGTAATAGCTGGCTTTGCATATCCCCTTTTGCACAGCTTTTAGATAATTTCTAATGTTATATTCCTGAGATCTTTCAGTACTTAATATGAAGTGCAGTCCAGCTGCTTTTTACCCCACCCCCTCATCTATCTCTTCCAACTAGCATTACATTCATGGGAAAAAAAAATAAAAAATGAGAATAACCATGAACAATATGCATTTTCTATGCCTTAAAACAGTTTAACCAAAGGAAGTCCATTAATTATGCCTTCTAGATAATAAATATTCCAAATAACTGGCTTTCCAAAAACTGCTGTCTGATTTTGTACCTAAAGCTCCAAGCCTCAGTATGCCACAAGGCATACTTGAGACATTTCTTTTTCTCCCCCTTGTCCATGGACAAGGCAGGGCATGAGCACCACCACACCAACATGGTGAGAGTCATTATACCCATTATCAGCATCACCACCGTTGCTGTAACACGTTAAAGTATGTCGCAGTAGGGTATTTGCACCTTTGTATAAATACCTAACAGGAGCATACGTTTCAGTTCTTTTGCAGATACAGAGCTTTGTGCCGCAAATACTCTTCCAAGCACTTCACTGCAAAAGGGTCGACATCAGTGTCAAACTTATTAGCAAATAAGTGGTGGTTTCGTAGCATCCAGTTCAAGTCTCCTACTCCAAAAACACAGACAGAGCGAATGTGAACTCCACTGCATGGTGGGTAGGGTGCACCTTTGGACACATCACCTTCAAAGTACTGCCACTTGACAAATCTGGCCAGTGCATTCATGTCAGAAACGTCATACTTGTCACTGGAAGAAAATGCACCTGGGACTTCAGGGATTCTCTGAATTGTTGCCCACAGGTACTCATCTGGGCTGTAAGTATCTTTCGCCCACTCAATGAACTTAAGTATTTTGCTGTTTTCTAGTACATATTCTACAAAGCTTCTGCTAACTACAAAATAAGCACTGCCAGAAAAAACTGGAGTACTGAGAGGTGGTAGCTGTTTGTCTATGCCTGTGTTCTTTATTTTACCATCAACAATCTCATGGTGTTTTTTCCACCTTACTTCTTTATAAACTGGCATTTTTTCTGTTTCCAAGCTGTTTTCACCCTTAAGGGCTTTTAATTTCTCTACTATTTCCTGGTTTGTCTTTATAGGAAAGTCCATACCACACAGGTTTATTAGGTATTTCCAGTTTGAACTTCTTCTGTGGAGATCTTTCATGCAGTTAATGTCCGCCTGCACTCTGCTCCATGAAGCATATACCACACTTTCTAACTGGCTGGAAATAAAGACATTATCAAAACATGAGACTATTCCCTTCACAGCAGCAAAAAAGGATTCTGGAGACTTTTTGTCTACATGAATGCAGTAAAAATTCTGTGGAGCGTAGATTGATCTTAGAAGTCTATCAAGCATCTCAATTTTGTGATAAACAACTATTGAGTAAGCAATTGGAAATTCTGCTTCTTCATTACTGAGAGGCTCCATAATGTATTTCCTAGTCTTGGTGAAGGAGGCACAGTCTGCAGTCATGTTAATATAATCATCTGTTGTTAATCTGGGGCGTTTCTTAAACGACACTGATAATGCCTCAAGCTGTACCTTTTGTATTTCTTCTATATCCCCCTCAATAATCTTGGTGCAGTTAACATTGCTAATAGGATCTTCCTTTGTTAGCTCCAGATGTCTCCGATTCAGGAAGTCTTCTTTCTGGTTAACTTTCAAAACTGAAATTATTACTAAAATGAGAGTTAGACCCAAGAAAAGCTTAAAGCGCAAGTTGTGGCAAAACCGTAATTTCCTCTTCAGCATTTCAAATACCAGGTAGCTTTGCAGGACTTAAAAAAAAAAAAAGGTCCTCCTTCTCTGTTCATATGAGCTTCAACAACTTCAGAAAAAAAATCTGCGTTTTGCAGGAATTTGGCAAGTTTTTCAGGGAAATGGAAGGAAAAATCCTAAAATAAAATGGAATATGACAGTCAGACTAAAAGGTTTCTTTAAAAAAATCAGTGATTAATAATGACATTCTCAATTAGTGACAGTAAAAAGCTGAATAGTTCAGCCAAAAATATTCTGTTGAAAATTAAAAACTAATCAATTTTTTATAGAAAAACACTGGGAGAAGCGGACAACATTCATGAAACTTTCACAGTGCTAATGCTACTAACTGAAGTTCAGTAAGAAAATAGAGCTGATCCAGCTGTATCTATGGATGTTATAGATCTATAAAAAATTGAAGTCAGATACACTGCTGAGAAGCAAGTATTTCTTGTTAATTCATGCCTTAGAGCTTGATAAGAATTTTTAATACCCACTTCAGGGTTGACATAGATTTCTTTATCATTAAAACTTACCACTCACTTCCTGGATGATAGTCATGCTTTAGTTCTCACTGGCAAAAAGCCACTGCAGTCTTTCAAGGTTTTTGTGTGAGATAGTCTCGTCAACATCCTGCATATGCACTTAGAAATACCACCAGGAAAGAGCTGATGAGAAGTGTGAGAAAGAAAAAAGTTATTATAGCAGGGCACCTCAATTTTCACAGTTGTGAGAAAAACTGCTACTGAATTGCTGAAATAGCTTTATTAGGTAAGAGGCAATAGTTCTGACCCATATCTCCAGCTGTTTTTATCAAGTCACTGCAAGTGCACAAATCTAAGTGCACAGCAGTGTTGTGCTACCATCATTAAAACACACTTGTTTTTATGACTCAGCAATTGTTTTTATGTGGAGGTTTGCTGCAATGCTGGATTTCAACAAGATTTCTAGCCAATTTTATTTTCTGCTTTACTGCACAAGCACTAGGTAATTTTTGTTAGTTCTGCTACTCTTTAAGCACCTGTTTTCTGTTTCAGTACTCTCTGAAAAGAATCACTGCAGTTGTGCAGTAGCTAAATCTGTAGCTGTTGAGAAAACTGCGCTCTAGAACAGCAGAACTGGCTGCCTTTTTTTTTTTCTGAAGGTGCTATTTCATGCAGGCAAATTGATCAAGAACAGGATATCCTTAAATAACTTACGTTGCTACTCAGATGCCAAATCTAATCACAAACTCACTGCCTAACAATTTAGTGCAGGTTTGAATTTCAACCCAGCCTCTACATGCAAAAGCCCACACAGTTTACAGATAATGTCTTCCAAAACATGAATAAGTAATAAACATGAATAAGTGTAAGTTTATGAAATATAAAATATTTGAGAGATACAAGGTTCCTTACATTCTTACTACTTTCAAGAAAAAAGACAGTGCCTCAGAACAACTTTCTGAATAGCTCTAAGAATAACAGCTACTCAGAAAGACTGGTAAGAAACTCTGTTTAAGAAAAATAATTTTGTACTGTGTTTGTTCTGTGTTTTGCCATAAGCTATTCAGCGTAAGAATTTCATTTTCCTGCCTATTTTCTTTAAGCCACCCCAGCTGCATTTTAGGTTTTAATTCCTAAACTGTGGCTCTTAAGCTGCTACATGCAGATATCAGAACAGGTGCATTTAAGAAAGTAAGGGATGGCATCACAGAGTTTTTTGTTAGTAATGCTGCCCGGGATGCATTACACGTTGGGTCCACCACTTTGCCCGTGGCACTGCAAACTGACTGGGGGAATGTGGTAGGTGGGAGGAAGGTGTGGAACACTGCGAAAACATCTAGCACAGCTATGGGAATCAGCAATTTTTAAGTACTGTAGTCAATATTTTATATTTCAAGCCAACAGCAGGCAGAGAAACAAACTAGACACAAATTTATGTGACTAACAGCATTATATAAATGTTTGATTTATGCTGAAGTGTACTTTGTCTTCAGAATTACAATTTTAAGTATTTTACCCTGCATTTCTAATTTATTTTAAGGAAGGCAAACATTTGTTCACAGTATATTTTAGATGTATGCTGAAGTCAAACTGGAAGAAAATTTAAATTTTAAAACTTAAGAAAAGTAGCCCCATGAGCTAGCATACAATTCAGCTGAGAGCACACAGAGGGAAATTCTAATAGTTAAGGTCTTACATTTTGAATTTAAAAAATATTAAAAAGAAAATTCCAAAATTCTGGATTTCTGCTTGCAATATGACATCAAATAACATAATATAGAATTAACATAATTTAGAACATGTTTTAATATGCTTTGTAACTTATCACAGACTTTTGTACTTGATGTCCTGCTTGTTTTCACTACTAGATCTAATCCATTAAAGATAATATTTATCACATATTAAATTAATAAAGGAAGGAGACTAAATATATGATAATGTCCATTTGGTATATATTTTCATAGGATGAAGCTTGTGATACTGTTAACCTTCAATTACTGTATTCTGCCTACAAACTCAAAAATTAAGACATTTCTAGAACTTAAAGTGTGCTTCAAATACAGTTATATTTGTGATACTTTAGCTGACACTGGAATCCTTTCTTTAGGTTGTTAGCACTATTATTTTATCCTATTCTTAGTTTTTATAGGAGCACTACCATTGAGAAATAACACACACTCAAGAAGATTACCAAGCCATCACTGTTCCAGTGGAGGCAGACAGTCTTAACTGAAAGTGACCATGGCAGTCTTCACCTTCTAACATTTTCAAAGAATAAAGCTTGCTAAGAAGTCTTCCCTGCTCCCATTTTAGAATGAAAACTAAGAAAATTTAGTTGAGTGCAGGATAAAGAATTAAAAAAAATTCCTTTCATAAAGATCTTGTATACCCAGCTGGGTGCAATTCCTCTATTGTTCAGAGCTCAGAATAATCAGACCCGGCATTTTCATTATAACAAAATGAGAGATCTGCAAACATTTACACATTAACATGGCTCTTATCTTCATGTGGATTTTTTTTCCCTGCAAATTTCTCTCATTGGCATGCTGTTTCCTCAGACCAATTTTAACAGTAAGTTACTATTTGTTCATGCTCACAATTTCAAAGTCCTAAAATTTGATCATATCCCATTCCAAAAAAAGCTGATCTTTCACAAGGTAAGATTTGTTACCTTTCATCTAATAATACACTTAATACATTTACTGAGCCTACAACACTCATTAATATAGTTTAAGACTGCATTCAGTTACGCTTTTACCATCAGTAAGCTTTAGCCCTGCATAGTCTTATGTGCACACTAGATAGAGAATTACCTTGTCAGAGGCAGCACTTTGCACTTTGGGAGAGATGGAGGTCTGCAAAGCTATGGAGAAAATGCTTTATTTGGCAGCCTTCGTCTTGCTCTCAACTGAGGTTGAGTTGAACCACTTCCTTTTTTTAACTGCTTTTTCTTCAAGTCAAAATCTGTATTTCTGAAGCAGTTGTCATTAAAAGGGGAAATTTACAGCAGTTGCTGGTAGTTTGGGGAGCAAGTACAAAGGTCGAGTTAGCTGCCCACTTCCCTCTTTCCTGCCATATACAAACTGTATGGTATGACTAGACAAAACCAGGATAATTTCAGCTTGATTTCTAGTAAAAACAAAATCAAATAAGAAACCTAGGTCTTCAAAACAAAAACCACCCAAAATCTCCAAAACAAACATACAAACAAAAAAAACCCCACCAAACACTTTCCCAGTAGTATACCACAGCTTGGAGGGAGATCAGAGCTGGTGTGGAGGTTTTTTGCAGACAGGCTGGACTGGAGCTGCTGGTCCCACAAATGAGGATGTTTGTGGGCATGCAAAGGTGGCAGGACACTGCTACTCCAGCAGCCAGGACACCAGGCCACCTCTGCGGTTTCACCACACCTCTGCTCTGGCACCATGATGTGCTGTTCATGAAGGAGGAACCCTGCTCCCATCTCTGGTACCCACAATAGTGCCAGGAGGAGTGCAACGACAGGTCCAACCAGACGGCCTCTGGGGAGCTCTCCAGCCAGAGGAGCCACAAAGATGGATCTGCTGGGAAGTCCTAACATGTTACAAAGGTATATCCAGAATGCTTCAGAGCACATACAGTTACTGCAATAACCATGCTTCCATTCAGCTGCAGTTACACAGAACATTCATTCTGATGGGGAAGTGATTTTTAAAGCAGTAAGCAGTTTGTATAAACACAAACATCCATGAACACAAAGACAGACTGCGTGGACTGCAGCGTCATCTGCAAAGATCTGCCAGACACAGAAGTCATTTACTCAGCTTTCCACGACAGCAAGCAGCACAATCTTGAAAGCAGATTTGCCTGTAACTAAATCAAAGAACTTGGATCTGTTTTGTTAGGTAGTGTTCAGTCTTGAGTCTACATGAAAATGAGGACGAGTAGTTAGCTATGGTAAGCTGCGTAGTTAGCTTACCATAAGCCTTTACGGGACCCTTAATTTTGAAATCATATGCAGCAGGGTTTCATGTGGGCACAGCTGTCTGCAACTGACAACGCTCTGTAAGAGTAGATGCTTTTCCTTCAGAGGTGCTTAAGAAAACAATAAAAAGGGAAAAATACACTCCCTTTTTTGCAGAAAAACCCCAACACATTTACAGTCCTTTGTTAACTAGGAAGATGTTTTAAACAAAACTCCACAAGTGACTAGCAGTGCTACATCCACCACTACATGGAAATTAAATACTGAGAGTAGCTGAAAGTAGACAGATGTTTTTTTCAGAGCTAAAAAAGAGAGATGAAAATAAATCAGAGCTCCAGGTTATTTGAAGATCTTAAATTCAATTTTTAGGAATCTAACACACTAAAGTATTTTTGCTTCAAAAAATAAGTAACACTCACATGAACATATACTCTGTGTAGATTGTAAATTGAAAAAGCAGTAAGTTTTACTAGCCTCTCTAGTAGACTCTTATACTACCGTATCACGTAAACATTCTGCAGAACAGTTCAAAGCCTGACTCCTATTTTGAATCCTGTCTGTCCTTAGAGGCCTCCCAGATAGAGATAACAGTGCGAAATTTCAACTAAGGGGAGTAAAGATGTTATGGTGAAGTCATTCAGTGACCAGCTCCTACCTCAGGAAGCTTGTGACTCTTAGTATGGACAAAAAGTTATATTTTACCTCAAGGTTACTAACACTGAAAGTACAGATAGATCAGAAAACAAAAAATCATGAAATCTAAACTAATGGTGGCCAATTTAACATGTGGTAGAACTGCCTGGGGTTCCTCAAATAATTTCAGCTACTTCAAGGTGAAACGCACACCCATTTTTTTCACATTATTCTAAAGTAGGACCTATAACATCACCAGGAAGAGAGCAATTGCTGCACTCCTCATGCCCACACAAAAAATTTTGCTAATTTTGTGACAATGCTGTATTTTATAACAGGACTCAATAGCAGGAAATGTAATCTATAAAACCAGAAGGAAAGCAGAAGGGTTTTCAAATTTTTGAGTACTTGGATCTGTCTTCAAGCACAACATAGAAAGTATTCTGGGATTTTCTTTAGCCCTATGGAGAAGCCAGCATTTTAAAGCCATATCTACAGTTACAGCTCATCAGTGAGCTAAAGAATCATCAATGAACTTCTGAGATACTCTATCACAGTTTCCAAGATGAGGATTATGTTTGTTTTACTAAGTTCCTCTAATAGCATCACAATTATCCCATGTAGAATAATGCTCCACATTGCAAAAAGCCGTGTCTCTGGAGCTGTGAAGTAAACCTAACAGTGAAAGTTACTTCAGCTGTAGTACTGGGTATGTTACATTTCTGTGGCACTACCTTTTTTTCACCTATTCTAAGGTGAAATTCTATGTTGATAAAGTTAGGTGTTTTCCAGTTTCAGAAGCTTACGAACCAGAGTAAAGGAAGAACTTTTGAATTATGTTAAAATCCAAAGCAAAACTAAGAGGGATTATTTAAAAAAGTGAAATTAAATCTTTCAGTAAGACTAGCAGTGAGTTTTCCAACGTGGAAATAAAATCGGAGAGCAGGATTTTGCTCAGTAAATGTAATATTTTCAGCAAATAGACTGTGAATCTTTAGCTTGCATTTAGTTTATGTTAGGAAAAAAAGGCAGATTTGGCAAAGGTATTCATCAGGTTTTTTAGCAACTATTGGCTCTCCTGGCCTCAGGAAGTATCACTCCAAGAATTTAGATTTCATAGGAAAGGCATTACGCTGATAACTGGTATACACTACAGGCAGAATAGCTAATCATTGAGGAGAGAAAGTATTTTCTTTTGTATACACCTACTTTCAAAAGCAATGTAAGTGAACTCCAACTTGAGCCACAAACACTGCATTATTTTCACAAAGATTTTCAAGTTTAAAGACAGAAAAGCTAGATTTGTCCCCTCTTTTCTCACTACCATTTCTGATTCTCATTCTTGCCAGCTCTGTGGTCAAATACCTCATATTCCATTAAAAATTATATTTAAAATAGCAGACTCCAAAATGGCAATTCCCTCCTGCTGCCACTCCTCCTCTTTCCCACAAAGAAGTCTACTTTTCTGAGTAACGCTGAAAGAAGGCAAAGTGCCAGAGCATAACTGAGTCTCCTGTCAGGCTTCCTTCTCAGTCCTCTCACCCAACCTGGGCCACAAAAAAACCTATTTACAACCTTCTAAACTGCTTTTTTCATTCTGACCAAAACGAAGTTTTTTTTTTCAGGGTTTCCCCGGTTACAGAGAGTTTAAGAGAGAGAGAGAGAGAGAGAGGGAGAAAAAAAGCACCACCTACGACTGCAACAGCTCAGGAGCATCTGGTATGCCCTAAACCCTAGCCGATTTCACACCAAACCAACACCCCCCCGGAGGGCAAGAGCCTGCCCCGGGCTCCCTGCGTGCACTGCCGCGGGAGAAGGCAAACGGAGGCTGGGAAGACAGACAGACAGACAGACAGACAGAAACTGGGGTAAAAAAACAAAATAAGAAAAAAGGAGGCGTAGCGGGGAAAAAGCAGAGGAAGAAAGCGAAAGGGGAAATGAGAAAAAAAGGGGAAAGAAAGAAACAGAAGGACATACGTGGAATCAAAAATAAGAGGGGAGACGGGAAGGTGGGGGGAAGAGGAGGGCAAGGCGGGAAAGGAGGGGGAGAGAGGAGAGCGGTAAGGAAAGAAAAAAGAGGTGTGGAAAAAAAGAAGGAAAGAAGGAGGAAAAGGACAGAGGCACAACAGATGCGTCTCCCTGCCCTCCAGTGCAGCACCTGCCCGACGATACGGCGGCTCCTGAAGTAGTGCTGCGAGGTTCCGTAGGGTACGGCGCCGGCGGAGAGCGACGCTCCAGGCCACCCGCTTCGGGATCACACCGCTCCCGGTACGCCCTCAGCACCCAGGTGCGGAGCAGCCCGGGGCAGGCAGGCAGGCAGCCCGGCCACCTCCCCTGCGGGCGCGGCCCCGAGCCGGACTCCGGCTCCTGTCCTGGGCTGCGGGTCCCTGCCCGGCCCCTCGCCCCTCCCGCACACACCCGTGGGTCCAGCCGGCCCGGCCCTCCGCAGCACCGCGGCCCTGCTCAGGGTCCCGCCCCTACCTCTCCGCCCCCCGCCTGGCCCGGACCTCACCCACACCGTGCCCTGGCAGCATTGGCAAGTACGCGTGTTTTTCTTTTTTATTGCTTGCTCTAACGCTTCTTCCGATAGTACCGGTAACGTTGGCATCCACGCAGGACCAGCTGCTCTGCTGGAGGATCGAAGGGCTCTCTCGTGGTTCCCAGCCCCAGCGCGCTGGGGGCCGGATGCCACGGGGGCGAAGGCGCTGGGCGGGCCCGATGTGGCTGCGGCAGCCGCGCGTTGTCAGCGGGGAGCCGGCGGGACCGGTGCTCCTGAGGCGGCAGCCCGAGTCTCGCCTGCGGCTGCTACATGTGAGCTGGAAGGACTCCCTGAGGGAAAATCGAGATACGGAGCGGAGGGTGGGGTGGAAGGGCAACAGACCTCGTTGGGAAGCGGTGTACGAAACTTGAAGCGGTGAGGAGTAAGACGTGTCTAGGCAGAGCGTGAAGAAGACTCAGATTTCTTGTTCACTTTGTCCCATCAAATATCTGTCCGACGATAAACATAGTACACTGGGCTTGGAGAGCTGTGAAACATGAAGGTGAACCTTAGGGGCAAGCCTCTTATTATTTTAGCAAAGTACTTTGACAGAAACGAGAAAATTAAATTTCAAGGAAATAAAAAGTTCAAAGAGAGCATGTGCCTCGTTAAAAAGTCCCACGTGCTGCAGCCTGCAGCAGCTTGAACGGTGTTTCCAGAATTCCTTGGAATCTCATGCATTATCTGGCATACAGCTTGATTTGGCAGCTGGAGGCGCACTTAATTGCGGACTTTACTGGCAATTTCTCATCTCAATTGTGAGATTGTACTGAGGGGTCCCGCATCTGCACTGATCAAGAAGCTGGAAGGTAACAAGAAAATGAGATTAGCTTTCAAGGCTCTTACTGGAACACACTGCAAGAGAAGAGGGAATTGCCTCCACACATTACCACATGGATCAAACAGCTTATTTTAGGAATGGACAGCAAGATCTCAAATTTTCATCATTGTATTGTCAAGAGAATATTTAATGTGTGTATATATATATAAATATATATGCTGGGTAAAGAATTAGTGTGTAGCTGCATGCCAGCTTGGCAGTTCTCCCTTTTTCCTCTTTTCCTGACAGATGTGGGGGGAAACGATGGTTTTCTAGTGTTTCTTTTATTTATAGGGCTGAACTTCTGTTCACTTTTGATTGTTCATGGAGCACCATGCCAAAAAGGCCTTTCATCTGTAAACCCAGTAGAGGCTGGTAAGAAGCTTTCAGCAGGAGACAGAAATCTGAGGGAGTGGGCATGATTTCCTATTAGTTTTCCCCATGAAAAGTAATGTTTTGTAATTACTAATGATTTATGATTATAGACAGTGACTATGTCTTGTTGGTCTTTGATGTAAATTAGAAAAATAAATTATAATGTAAATTATAAATTTAAGTGTTCTCTTGCTAAACTGCCTGCAAAACATTGCAGTATTGCAATCACAGTACAAGTAGTAGAGCTGCACACCAGTATTCTTAAGAGAATGAATTAGGTAAGCATTAGGGGCAGATGTTTCCTCTCAGTTTTCCATTCACCCTCCCCCTAATTCCTTACAAAGCTACAGATGCAAGGATGTCCAATGCAAAGTCACCAGCTAGAGCTGATATATATTGGTGCACTAACAAAGTACCATCTAACAAGTACTTCCTGTGGAGAGAAAAAAAAAAAAAGGCATTAAAGTGATTACTGCATGTAATTATTTCAGGTAGAGGACTGAAGTTAAGAAGCCTGTTATTCTCTACTATTCTAACTTTCACACAAGTAAAAAAATGGAGTTCTGTTGTGGTGTGTTTTTCTTTCAATAAGTTTGAGGTTCTTATACAGATGGTTGACTCGCTTACCCCCCCAGTTTTGTTGGTATAATCCAAGCTGAATCCTCCTCCCCTGCACCATCAATCATTGTATCCCAACCCCTTCTTCCAGTACCTTCCCTGCCAGTCATGGTAACCCTACCCCTTTATCCAGATCCTTCCCTGTCAGTTTTACTTGGTACCTAACCTTTGTTCTGGAATCTTCCCTGTTGATGTCACTTGATGCTCCATTAGGAGGTAACAGGGAAACTGTTACCTCAGGCTTCCTCACTGGTCCATGTTTTGTGAACCCCGCCTTGAATTCCTCCTCTAAGTCTTCCCTATTGGTTGATGGTTTGTACCCCACCTCTGGCTCCTCCCCTGTATATAAGTTACTGTAGCCCTGTATCTTTTGTCTTTTGTCCCTGGACCCTTCTGGAGCATAAACTTCTGTGGGGACCTACACAAAACACCCTTCCCTGGTCTTTGCCCTGACCCTCAACACTGACCACAAAAGCTCTTTGAAAAGCAGACTTATTGCTGCTGAGCTGAGCAGACCTGCTTTACCTCTACTTGAGGCTATTCATAGCCTGAGAGAGGCCATACCTGGTGCAGTCCAGGACAGCCAAGCTGGCAAATTGGTCCTGGCACTGCATCAGAGTTCTCTATAGACTGACATAATTACAGAGGTTGTGATTCTTGGCTGACCATGCTGGCAGAGACCCATCATGTTTTTAGTGCTGCTTTGTGACGTTTCAAGGACTGTGTTTCACTTGTGGTTCCATTCATAGGTAATTTTTTTTTAAGTCTTCCTGAAAAAAATGAATGAAATGGGTTTGTGCCTGGTTTTTACTCTTCTTTAGTCTGGAATATGAAGATGACAGGGCCCACAAGCTGCCCTTTCTGCCATGTGACAAGCCAGTGATGGATGTGACTGTATGGCAGCTGTAAAACACAAGGAAAGTTACATTTTTCACAATTTTGGAATTACTGACAGACAAAACAATAGAAAAAGTGGACCTTAGAGGCAAAATAAAGACAAAAATTAACAAAAAGCAAGTTACAAATGTGGGAAGTTTAAAATACATAAATTATTTTGCTGTGAATTTTGATTGGTATGAGTGAAATCAGTTTATACATGAATATTTGATTGATGTGGCAAGACTAACAATCCAGTGAGAAAAAGTACATACAAACTACATTGAGAAAGTTTCAAAAATAGTTTTCTTTGGCTAAACTTACATAGTTATGGTGCAGGAGAATACAGCTCAAATATATTTCCAATAATGAGGACAGCTCTCTCACAGCCATGCTTTCTCTAATTTGATATTAGTATCTCATTTGCAATTTGACAGCTGCCTCCAGGCTTTAGGCTTTTTCTTGGAAAACATAAAGTATGCAAAATGTTTCTAAATATCTTAGATTTTTTAATGCTACGTCAAAAGTTTAAATGCTAGAGAATTTTTTTAAACCTCAGGCTTACTGCTAATTCTTGTAATTTTACTAGTTTTAAGGAAATAAAAGTTTTCTTTTTCTGAAAAGGCCGACAGTGATCCAGCATTTTGTAATAAGAGCTTCCCTACTAACCTTTGTAAAAAATGACTAGTCTTAATTTATCATGTAAATGTAACCCAAATATCTATTTCTTCTGATAATTCAGACCTAACATTAGAAAGAGGCAAGGTCCTATTGTCCTGTCCTCAGACAGACTAACCTCAGTCTTGAATCCTTGAAGGGCTTGAAGGTTTCTTCATAAAGAAAGTGATCTTACTGCACTAGCCTTCTCTAAGGAAAGAGTTGCTCCAATCCAGAATTTTTTATTATCTTCTCCATAAACATCCATAGCAACATTTACCTTTGTTGCAAAGTTTATGAGACTTAATGTTCTTGTCCTAGATTCCCAATTCTGCTTGCTCTGTATCTGAATAGGGGAAAAAAGTAATCTTCAATTTGCTGAGCTTCCACCTAAATCAGGGGTGGGGGTGGAGTGGGCCAAAAATGTGAATATCATGTGCTGAAATAAAAGGTCTGAAGAAGATGATCGCAACTGCCAAAATCATTTTAACACAAAACATTGTCTGAAGAAGAAAGACATCTCAACCCATTTTTGAAAATAAAGAAAAGCATATCTAAAGCACACTGTAGTGTGCTTCTCTTTGGAACAAAATATCTACTGATACGGGTCAGTACTAATTGGTAGGGGCAAGAGCAGCCCGTGCCTAAAGTTTATTAAGGAAGGTCATATTTTCTTCCTCAGACTATGTGTAATACATATTGAAAATACTATTTCACTTTACCTGTAGTGTGCGTACACAGAATTCTGATACTGTTTGAGAGGAAAATTTCTCACATAAGTTTAATATGAATGGACTATGTCAGTACTGTATGATCAAGGACATGCCAGGACAAATTTTTTCCAAGACCTTGGCTGGCAGTTAGTACTAATTACAGAATTGAAAATAATGTGGTGTGGATTGCAACACTGGGTTGCCAGAATTTCTGTAAAACATATAGTGGGTAAAATAGGGGCATCTTGTTCTACCACTGTGGTGGATTTGACATTGGCTTGCTGCCAGATGCCTACCCAGCTCTCTTACTTTGCTAACTTCACAAAACAGGATTAGAAAGCTCATGAACTGGAATAAAGCCACGGAGATTACTCACCTATTACCATCATGGTCAAAACAGACTCAACTTGGGAAAGATTAATTTACTGTCAATTAAAAATAGAGTGCAGTGGTGAGAAAAAAAAAAAAAAAAGGACAAAACTAAAAACTTATTTCCATTAGTCCCTCTGGCTTCATCTCAGGTTCAATTTCATCACTTCATTTCTTACTCTTTCTACTCCTTCCCTCCTGAGCACTGCAGGGGTGTCAAGTATAATGATTGTCATCTGTCCATAACTACTCCTCTCTGCCAATCCTTCATTCTGGTGCTGTTTGTTCCTTCCATGTCCTTCACAAACTGCTCTAGTGTGGGTCCTTTCAATGGGCTGCTGTCCTTCAGGAACAGACTGCTTCAGCATGGGTTCCCGTCC